ACATATTGTCATCTTAGAAATCATTGTTCAAGTTACAAAATTAAAGCATATAAAGTGGACTTTCAAACAGTGAGATTGCAAACAGTTCTGTTCAATGATCCAACAAAACTCAGTAATATGGTTATCTATCTTAAATATATATGCAGTTATATCCTTTAGAGCACTTTCTTTTCCTCTATTTTTCACCATGACAATTACACATTTTGGGTTTTATTACTCTCACAGTTCTTATTACTTTTTTTTGAAGAGAGTAAAACCAAATGTGATATAGCAGAACAGAGTCAGTCAAATCAAAAGGATGGACATAATACATAATGTAAAACAAAATACAAGGTGATCAACAATGGTCACCATACTGCCTTTTGCCATCTTAAAAAGAATTGCCTATATCATCAGTTATAACAAAATTGAATAAAATGTAAAATAAAGAACAAAACCAATAAAACCAAAACACTGGAGACATTACAGGACTTCATAAGAAGATAATAGTCAACCAGAATGGGCCTCATAATGAATCTTATTGTCTTCACAGTTGTTGCCTATATTTTTGAATTTGGTAGCATCAAGCAAAATAGAATAGAGGAAAATCAGTCAAAACAAGATGGTGAGAGCAATACAGGGTTTCAAATCAAGTTAATAGGAAATCAAAGTGGGTTACTATAATATACCCTGCTATTTTTTATTTATTTTTCTCTTAATTAAAAAGATAAAAAAGTAAATAATAAAAAAGGAGATTTGAGATAAAAGAGGGCATAACAACAAAACAACGCAGGTCAAAACATAACCATTTAAGCAAAATAGTGTTTCACCACAAGATATCCTGACATAAAAGTAGTTACCATAGAGTCTCTTTCCTTGAAATCTTTGAGTATAACTTCGTATACTCTAGCATCAAACATATCGAGACAATGTAAAACCATTCAAGAGAATGACAGTATTACAGAGTATTTAGAATCAATTAACAGAAAATGAACAATGGTTTCTGTATAATCTCCTTGTCTATAAAAGTTTTTGTTTATATTATCACATATAATAAAATCCAAAAAGATACATGTTAAGACCTTTGGAGACAAAAGAACAAAAGCTTGATGGGACTTCAAAACAAAATGATATTAAGTCAGCACTAGCTATTATGATGTCTTGTTTTCTCCAAAATAGCTGTTCCTACCATCCAGCCTTCTCTGCCTCATTTCTGTTGAGCTCTTTTTCTGTTGTTTGTTGTAAGTTTGTCTTCTTCATTTCACTTTCTGCTCCATTCATTGTGGCCTCTCTGCCACTGTTTTTGGAATCTTGGTATTTTTCTTTTTTTTAGAATATCCTGCAGTATTCTCTGTAGAGTTGAATTGGTGGTTGCAAATTCCCCTAGTTCCTCTTTATCCTGGAAGCACCTTGTTTTTCCATCAATTTCTAGGGACAGTTGTGCAGGATATTTCAATCTTGGCTGGAGGTTATTATCTTTCAAAGCTTGAATTATTTCCCCCCATGTTCTTCGTGATTTGATGGTTTGTGCTGAGAAGTCTGCTGTAATTCTGATGGGTGTTTCCTGGTAAGTGATCTGTTTCTTGTCTCTGATGGCTTTTAATATTCTGTTCTTATATTGGATTTCTGTAATTTTGATTATTATATGCCTGGGTGTAGCTCTGTTTGGGTTGTAGGTGGCTGGGGTCCTATATGCCTCATACATCTGAGTATCTTTATCTTTTGCTAAATTAGGGAAATTCTCCTGGATTATTTCTGTGAATAGCTTTTGTAGTTCATTTGTTTGTGTCCCCTACTTCTTCTTTTATGTTCTTAATTCTTAAGTTATAGATCCTCTTATCATCTTCTAACCTTTGTATTATTGCTGTTTGTTTTCTTGTTATTTTTAAGAAGTTTTTCATTTCATGCTCCCACATTATAAATCTGCCCTCCAGTTCAGATAATCTATCCTTAGTTTCTTTCAAGCTGTTATGCCAGCTTTCAGTAGAGTTTTTAGTTTCCTGGTAATCTCTTTGAACCTGCTTCACGTATTCTATGTTTTCTCTATTTTCTACACCAAGCAATTCTCCCCTTTTTTTCTGTTCTTCCATTTCACCATCTGTTTTTTCTTGAGCAATGCTTAGCATTTCTCTAACTATTCTACTTATATCTTGCTTTACTTCGGTAAATACTTCACTTTTGAACTCATCTATGAGGCTCTGGAGATATCGCTTTATGTCTATTGGTACCGTGTATGATATGTTTTCTGTCCTCATTCTTCACATTCACCTTTCCTGGATCAGTGTTCTCAGGATTGGGGGCTGAGGACATTTTTTTATTGCTCCCTTTTCCCATACTTTTTGTTTCTTCCATACCAGCATATATAGGGGGCCCAATTTCTTTCTTTGTCTGTTACAGTTTGTTTGAATTGTGCCGGCTAGGTGTTCCCGCCCACTGCAGTGTATTAGGGAGACACAGACCGGGGCAGTGTATGTTAGGCCCACCCCTCCAGGTCAACCTAGTGAAGGCTCCACTACTAGGGTGCACCACCAGGTGCTGGGACCTGGTTTGGGCTAGCCTACTGGATCTTAATCAGCAGCATCACCCAGGCCAAGCCCTCCACACCAATCCCACTTGAGAGGGGAATATGTGACTAAAGTCACTGCAGTGTCCTATTCCGGCTAGTCTGCCCCATCCCAGAATGTCCTCTTTTGAAGACTCCTAGTCTATGGAAAGGTCCCCATTCCTCTCACTCACCACAGGTCGATGCAGGGCTCCCTACCAGTCCCGCTCTGAACTCCATTTGCAGATTCCCGCTCTCAGAACTTTCACATCTTTCTCCGTGCTGTGCCAATTGGGATGGGAATTGCATTTCCAGTTGGTTTCTCTCAGCTTAGTTCATTCCTGGGTTGGCAGGGTATATCTCCTCTTGCTTAGGTCTCCTCACACCACACCTTTCCTGGATTCTAAGCTGGGTATCTCAGAGAGCCTCTGTAGCTGCTGTTATCTCTCTGCCATGTTCTTGAAGTCAGAGGCATTTCACAGTGAGTGGTTAGCCAATTCATAGCCCTCGGTCTGCCAATTCCAGGAACATTTGTCTCTCATAAAGGGAACAATGGTTGACACAGCATCATTTGTCTCTTACAAAGGGAACAAAGGTTGACACAGCAAAGAGGTTACTGGGTTTGGGGGGAAACGATGCATACAGAACAGCATGATGACGCGGTCAGTTAATCTATAACTGTGTGGTTGGTGCTTGGTTAGTAGGGTAAGGAGCTCAGCACAGAATGACAATACTGCTAATAACTATCCTTTTAATTAACTATTTTTGTTAATAACTATCTTTTAATTAACTATTTTAATTTTTCAGCATCTTAGTATAACATGCAGGTTTCTTATGTGCTCTAGTGGGAGTTCTCATTGACTGAAGGCTTATTCTAATAGGAACGTAATGATCTTTATTCTCTAATGTTTCCAACAGTTCAGCCGAATGACTACGAAGAGAGGGAAAGAGAGAAGAAAATGTATTTCTAGAAAAACTTCAAAATAATTGGCTCTTGGGGACTTAACCCCTGATGTATAGAAAGTTCAACTTTATCACTTAGGTTTCAAAACTTTAAATCACTTCGGGGAATGGAGAATCCCAACAGCAAAGTGGGATTTAAATGACTATGTGTAGCAAGTGATCCTTCATGGATTTTGCCCAAACGCAGAACAAAGACAAGATTACTTACCTTCCACTCCTTTCAGGTACTGACTCCTTTGCCAGCTACTCTTGGACTAGATTGGCTATTTTGGGCTTGGGGTTATTCCAGATTCAGAGAAGTGATTTTCTTTATCGTCATATTTATGGAAATGTAAGACAGCAATTTATTACATTCTGAAATATATTTACAGAATGAATTTTTTTGTACTGGGATTTGAACTCATGACTTCACACTTGCCAGAAGGCACTAATGCCACTGAGCTAAATCCCCAATCCTTTTTTTGTACCAGAGATCAAACTCACAACCTCGTGCTTGCCACACAAGTGCTTGTGCCACTGAGCTAAATCCCTGGCCCTCTTAGAGCAGCACTTTTAAAAGAATGTAAAAATTCTTGTGGGCCCATTCCATCCCTGGCTTCATACCTGGTGAGTAAGGGCATTGGGGTGGGGGATCCTTAGAGTGAGAGGAGAGAACATGGCAGTGTAAAAGAGAAAGGCCAAGAAAGAGACATTCATGAGACACTTCAGTCCTTGAGGGGGACTATCTCCAGTAACAGACTGCCCAAATGAGCATTAGAGAGAAGAGGCCCAATGAGGAAAGTGGACACAGTGATCCCTAAGTATGGAGACCCCAGTGATGGTGAATGCCATTTCTTTACTTCTGTTTTGTTTTGTTTTTTTGGTTTTTTTTTTATCTTTTTCCTTTTTATCAGTACCAGGGATCGAACTCATGACTGCCTGCTTGCAAGGCAGGCACTTATGCCGCTGAGCTAAATCCCCAGTCCCTATTGCCATTTCTTTAATAACAGGTTCCACATAGGTCGGCAAGTGAATGAATGGATGAGTAGATGGACCAAGGGTCTGTAAATTGTGAGAAAGAACCAGAAAGCAGGAGAGAGACAGTCTCTAATGGTACTTGCAGAGAGAAGCAGTTAGAAGTTGAAGACAAAGAACACTAGGATGTTTTAAGTGCCAAGGCAGGAAAATTTCAAAACCAAGTTTAATATTTCTTACCAAAGTTGGATAAAATGAATCACCAACACACAGTATAAAGTGCACTAAATGTGTGATGTCTGTCCTGAGTGTGCTCGGGGTAATTAAATGCAGTCACGTATTAATTCAGATCTCATGGGTGACCAGACACCATCAAATCAATGTTGATCAAATCCCCTGCATTTTATTTAGAAAAACACAGAGAACACCCTTCTGCAGATTGTCAGAGTTGTTCTCCAACTGCTTGGCAAGAAGAGGTTTTCTCTGACTCTCTGGGTACTTCAGACATCAGAGAATCATGAAATTGACCATCTGAGTTTCTGTAAGTAACAGAGGAAACACAATGGTTGGGACCAATGAGACCTCCCCTGTACAAGGATTCATTCTTTTGGGCCTCTCAGCCCACCCAAAACTGGAGAAAACATTCTTCGTGCTCATCCTGGCCATGTACCTGGTGATCCTGCTAGGCAACGGGGTCCTCATCCTGGTGACCATCCTTGACTCCCACCTGCACACACCCATGTACTTCTTCCTGGGGAACCTCTCCTTCCTGGACGTCTGCTACACGACCTCCTCTGTCCCCCTCATTCTTGACAGCTTCCTCACTCCCAGGAAAACCATCTCCTTCTCAGGCTGTGCTGTGCAGATGTTTCTGTCCTTTGCCATGGGAGCCACAGAGTGTGTGCTCCTGGGCATGATGGCGTTTGATCGCTATGTGGCCATCTGCACCCCACTCAGGTACCCTGTGGTCATGAGCAAGGCTGCCTACATGCCCATGGCCATCAGCTCCTGGGCGGCCGGGAGTATTACTGCCACTGTACAGACATCTCTAGCAATGCAACTTCCCTTCTGTGGGGACAATGTCATCAACCACTTCACCTGTGAGATCCTGGCTGTCTTGAAATTGGCCTGTGCTGACATCTCTGTCAATGTGATCAGCATGGGGGTGGCCAATGTGATCTTCCTAGGGGTGCCTGTCCTGTTCATCTTTGTCTCCTATGTCTTCATCCTCACCACCATCCTGAGGATTCCCTCCGCCGAGGGCAGGAAAAAGGCCTTCTCCACTTGCTCTGCACACCTCACTGTGGTGGTCATCTTCTACGGGACCATCCTCTTCATGTACGGAAAGCCCAAGTCCAAGGACCCCCTGGGGGCAGACAAGCAGGACCTTGCAGACAAGCTCATCTCCCTCTTCTATGGGGTGGTCACCCCCATGCTGAACCCCATCATCTACAGCCTGAGAAACAAGGACGTGAAGGCTGCCGTGAGGAACCTGGTAAGTCAAAGACAGGGATTCCCAATGACTCTGGCTCTGTGACCTCTACCTGAGGGTCCCCAGAGAATGAAATCACTACACTGGCCAACTTCATCCAAGACTGTAAGGTAAATCCCATTACACTGAGGGCTCCGTGTTTTTCCGTAGGCTTTCTCTCTCCTCATTCCACAATGCATGTAGCCATTTTCCAGCCTCCTTGTTCTCGCTCTTTGTCATAAACACTAACCAAGCTGAGGACACAGAAATGTGACTTCCAATTTCTATTGTTTAGCAAATAAAAATCCATTGTCTTCAGGTCTTCTGTTCCACTGCTCATTGGCTTCTTTCTTTGAATATATTTGAGTAGATCCCTACTTTTATAGTACCATGTACCCTATATTAAGTTATAATTTGAGAGTAAATAACAACATTTGGTAATACTTATCTTCCTCCTGATCTATTTCCTGCGGCATAAATTCTTTGTTTCTTTGGTTGGTTGGTTGGTTGGTTGGTTGGTTTTGTCTGTGCGACTGTCTATGCAGTTCAGGCTGGCCTCAGACTCACAGTGATTCTCCTGCCTCAGCCTTCCAAGTGCTGGGATTCCCGGCATGTACCACCACACCTGGCTCTGTAGCACAAATTCTTAATAAATGTATTTGAATTTTTCCCTCCCTATGTTTCTATAATTAGTCTCTTTCTCTCCTCAATCAAGGTCCTTTACAGAAAATCACTCATTCTCTAGATGAAGACAGTGAAACGCGGAAGATGTGGCAAAATTGATGCAAAGATCAAAGGTTCCAGTCTTTTCTGTTTTTGAAGATTTTGTTCATCCTAGAAAGCAGTGGTTTCCCTTGAGACAGCAGAGTAGTGTGGAAACAGAGATAATCAGAAAACCACTGATATCAACCCAAAAGAACAAATCAAGCAAATTGGTCTTTAATGAAAAGGAACTAATGCACACAAAAGAAGAAAATTTTGCTTGCTTGTTTTGTTTGTTTTGGTTTTAATTCTCTATTTTCAGTAGAATTGAGAGGCCTCTGAGTCCAGGGCAGTCCATGAGAAGAGCCTAGAAGAAAATATGAATGGAAGACAAACATCTTTTGGAAATAGAAAATATTATTCATCAATATTATTCATGAAAGTCAAAAGCCATCAATAGAAAAATAGAGAAGACAACACTTAAAACAAATTTTAAGTCCAAAACCACTTTAAAATATTTGCCTGCATGCAGTGTTAAAAAAAAGTTAAAGGTATTGCTAGAAAGAGAATAATTATACTATAAATAAGTGCTTCATAAATGATAAGAACAACAGAAGTGTAAGATGTTATAGTGGTATTATTATGAAGGCTGTATAGTGCAAAAAAAGAGATAGAGCTCCTGTCTTTTGCAGAGGCAGAGAAGATGGATGAGAGAGCCAGATGGCTGTGGGGGGACAGAAGTTAAACTATGTTGAATTTTGAGATTAGCAGAAGACATTTAAAAAGAAAATTTAGAATTTAATCTGATTTTGAGAATAGGCCCTGGAGAATTGCACTTCGAATGTTGTTTTCTTATATGCATTAATAATGAATTGCACACAACAAAGATGTTTGTTTTTTAAATAAAATTTTACTTTCATGTTGCCCTAAGGAAACTAGCTTGCTTCTGTAAATGCTTATTACAAGGGTGACATCTAGTGGCCATTCGCATCAACTTCAGATATTTACAAACCGGTGCAATGTGTTCAGAAGGGGATCCAGAGGGCTCCTTGTGCAATGCGACGACTTAACGCACAGGATTCTCCAACATCCCTGACCCCACTCATCCAGCCCTTGCGTGAACCCCTCTAGTGACGGAAAGTTCAATACTCTAGATTCCACTGCTCATTCAGGCTTTCTAGTGAACTCTTGAATCTGTGCTGACGTACACTCTGTGGTAGCTTCTAAATTCCCGTTTTAATCCGGTTTTATGCCTCTAGTTGAAATGCACCCTGTATATTAATTTTATAATTAGCTTCTTAGTTGAATGAAAGACGAAAATAAAAGAAAGGAATAATTTTAGTGGCATTTGACATGCTAGTATTTTTTATCCAGTTAAAACAGGACTCAGCAGCACAAGCACCTGCCTGGCAGCTGCAAAGTTCTGAGTATGATTCCTGCGACCCCCACCAAAAAAAAATGGATAAGATACCTAAGAATAAAACTAAAACTCCACAGTACCCAAAGAATAAGACTATAGCCAGGCATGGTGGCACATGCTTATAATCCCTATACTCAGGAGGCTGAGGCAGAAGGATTGCTGTGAGTTCAAGGCCAGCTTGGGTTACCTAGTGAATTTAAGGCCAGCCTGAACTATGTAGTGTGAGACCCTGTCTCAAAAATGCCACCCTCAAAAATAAGACAATAATAATTTATTGAGAGAACCCAGCAGAATACTTTAACAAATTGAAAGCTAAAACTTGTATTATGTTTATCTCTAGAACTTTACAATAATATAAAAAATGCCATCCAGTCACTGATAAGATGATTCTGTAACATAGAAATATAACTATAGAAGGGTGGCACACCTCTCACTTTCTTAGCTTGTCATCTTCAAGTTCTCTGGCATTTAAATTGGCGCTTAAGAAAAAGTGCCTTGGAACTAAGATCCAGAACAGCGAGGCTACCCCTGAAATTGTAGGGTCCCTGGAACCAACTGAGGTGGTAGGGATGTGGGGAGCTGCCACGGCCTACACGGCTCTGGAGGTTCTTGGGGTGAAGGACCATGAGGGGGTGAAAATGAGGACAAAACTGGGTCAGGTGGAGCATTGTTCTCCTGGGAGAACAATGGGAGGAGAGGAGCTGCGTCTCACTCACTGTAGGGACGTTTGTTTACACGGTTAGCAACACAATGTCGCATGGCACCCCTTTTGCCCAGTAACCTCTTGCTTGGATTGTGTAGAGGCCTGGTGTTTTTCTGGGCTGAAAGAGCTTCTTCATGTAGCTTGCCCAGGGTGCTCTTTGTTCTTGGGACAGCCATGCCCCAGCACTGCACCTGTGGTCAATGTCCAGCCTCAGTGGCTCCCAACAGGGATCAATGGTACCTCTGGGAGGCTGAGGCAGGAAGATCGAATGTTGGAGCCCAGCCTTGCCAGCTTAGTGACTTGGCCAAACCATGTCTCAAAACAAAAAGCAAAAACTATTGGGGGGGGATTCAGCACAAAGTTCCCACTACCCCTCCCATCAAAGAAAGAGATATAACTATATATAAAGTGTAATTTATATTATAAACTTATCAAAACAACCAGGAATTTTTGTGTGTATGAAAAGACTAAGAAGAGGAAACTAATCCAACTAGATGCTGAAATGTACAAAAGGAATGATAATAAAAATTTGGTACCAGTGGCAAAATAGAGAAATAAATCACTGGAGCACAAGAAAGTCCTGAAGTAGACCCACACAGCCCTGCATACAGATAGAGGCAGTGAGCCAAGCACGGAGCTGTGTTCTCTCAGCATCAGAACTTCCACCTGTGGCCTGTGATGCTGCGCTGGGATCTGGAAACTACTTCCTATTTTTTTAATTGTTTTTTTAAAGAGAATGGAACAAAACAGAACAGAACAAAGCAGATCAGAACAAAACAATGCAAGCAACACTGATTTCAAAACAAGGCAACAGGAAATCAACAGTGGCTACTATAATGTCTCTTGTTTTCTTCAAAATAGCTGTCCATATGTTCACACATACTGAAAATAAATAATACAAAACACACTAAAACCAATCAAAACAAAGAATAAAAGCATTACTGGACTTCACAACAAGATGATAGGAAATCAGCAATGGCTACCATAATGTCTCGTTTTCTTCAAAGTAGCTGTTCATACCATCACATGTAATAAAATCAATTCTTGTAAACTCTTTAGGGAAGCTCTAAGTATGTATGAACCTGTATGAGAGAAAATCAAAATCGAAACAAAACAAATTACGACAAAAGCAAGAAACAAATAACTAACAATAACAAAGAACCCAAAACAACTCCAAGATAGGCTTTCCAAACAAGGTGGTAGGAACATAACTAAGGTTGTTATTTTGCATAGTTATCTTCAAAAGAGTTACTCAGATTACTACATATAAACATACAAAATTGATCTAATCCTATGAATGTTAACTGTTTTGTTCCAACAACTAATAGAATTAGTAGCACAATCATCTTAGCTATCTTGTGTATATTTACAAATTTGTATCTTTTTTCTTTTACCTTCTTTCTTTTCTCCTTTTCCCTGAGTTATTTTTCCCCTTTGGCTAGGGGCTTATCAATTTTATTTATTCTTTCAAAGAACCAACTCTTTGATTCGTTAATGATTTGTATTGTTTTCCCAGTCTTTATTGCATTAATTTCTGTCCTGATATTTACAATTTCCTCCCTTCTTCTGGTTTTGGGCTTGACTTGCTCTTCTTTTTCTAAATGCTTGAGGTGTAGCATCAGGTTGTTTCTTGTATTCATTCTGTTTTCCTGATGTGGGAATTCACTGCAATGTTTCTCTCTGAGGACAGCTTTCATTGCATCCCACAGGTTCCAGTAAGTTGTATTTGTATTTTCATTTGCCTGTAGATATTGTTTAATTTCTTCTTTAATTTCCTCTGTGACCCACTGATTGTTCAGGAGTGTATTGTTTAATTTCTGTATGTTCATGAAGTTTTTGCAGTTTCTTTTGTCATTAATTTCTAGTTTCATGGCACTGTGATCAAATAATATCCATGGGATAATTTCAATTCTTTTTTTTTTCCTGGTACCGGGGATTGAACTCACGACCACCTGCTTGCAGGGCAGGTGCTTATGCTGCTGAGCTAAATCCCCAGCCCCTAATTTCAATTCTTTTGCATTTACTTAAGCATGTTCTGTGGGCTAGTGTATGGTCTATTTTAAAGAATGTCCCATGTGCTATTGAGAAGAATGTATATTCTGATGTTGTTAGATGGGAACACTGAACACGTCTACTAAATCCATTTATTCACACGTTTGATTCAGTTCTGTTATTTCTTTGCTTATTTTCTGTCTGGTTGATCTGTCTCTTTGTGTCAATGGGGTGTTAAGGTCTCCCATT